TAAGGTATATTAGAGTAAATTAAAATACAATACCAAGAACTTTAACACGAAAATAGCGTATTTTGGAATATGATGATAGCCGTTTTCACAATGTTGACTATCTATATCTAGAATTTTTTTTTTTTCATAGTAAAATATATCATATAAGCTTTAATTTGAGATTCNTATATCTAGAATTTTTTTTTTTTTCATAGTAAAATATATCATATAAGCTTTAATTTGAGATCCAATAAAAGTGTAAATAATTCCGGAACATTTTTAAAAATTAAGTTGAAAAAGTTTAACTTGTAAGCAAAAATTGTTTTTTTGAATCCCCCATGTTGGTGAATCAAAAGTCAGTTGAAAAAATTTATATTAAATGAAAGGGAATTATATACGGTTTCAATATAATAGCAAATTTTGATTTGTTCATTTTTAAAAAAGTTATGGCAGTTTTATTGAAAAAAATTCAAAATTTACAGATTTTAAAAATCATAATTTTTTGGGGGATTTGCACAATTTTTCTATTAAAGAGTGGTGGCGTCGAATAGTTTGTTTTTAATCCACCCGCACTTAATCCTAATACGGTTGTATTGACGAGGATATGTGAATATCTTGTTGCTCGTCATTACGACCGTTATTTTGTATAGATAATCCTGAATTTTTAAAACTCACAACCACACCTAAACACGCCGTCGTACATTGTCATTGCTCTCCTCGTTTCATCGACATTTTGTTTTTTCTTGTCAAACTCATATTCTATACGTACCGTCATACTTCCACTAATCCTTGATCCCTCAGACTAATATCCACACTCGACTCTTCAATGTTTCCCCGTCAAAAAACGAATAAATCTATACGTAGAATCGATTTTCTCCTCGTATTAATAACCGGTCAGTACTCACGGNGATTTTCTCCTCGTATTGATAACCGGTCAGTACTCACGGAGGTATTCACCGTGTGTTTTGTGAAAATAAAACATGAATTTTAATCTGAACATTTTTCGAAAAATCGTTAGCAATTTAAAGTCGATAATTTAAAATCGAAAATTTTAACACCAAAATAGCATTTTTTTAAACTACGGAAGCCGTTCGCACGTACAAGATAAAACGTTAGGCCATGTTTGAAGCTCAGNTTGCACGTACAAGATAAAACGTTAGGGCATGTTTGAAGCTCGGAGTATTTTCGGAATATTTTCAAAACTTCAGACGAAATAGTAACATTTTTGTGCAGGGATGCTATTTTGAATTTCCCCCTGCGGGTAAAGGTTCAAATTTTCAAAAATATTACATTAAATAAAAAAAAATTACCTGAGGTTTTAATATGAAAAAAATTATTTTTATTTGTTCATTTTTCAATAAGTCAAGGCAGAAAAAAAAAATGTCAAAATTTACCGATTTTAAATGTAGTATAATATTTTAATCCCTTTCTGCATGAATTAATTGTTTTTCTCAAAAAAAAATATCTATGTAGATTTGGGGTCATAGTGACATGAAAAAATTAAAAAAAAATTTTTTGACCATTTTTGATCCTAAAAAACCCTAAAGAGTAATGTGTGCCAAAAATGGAACAATGCGCACCAAAAATATTTATGTGCCATATTTGGATCTTATGCGTTAAAGTATACAGCACTATTATGTGCCATATATGGGACATATGCAGCTATGAAATAATACTTACATTACTATAACACACTATATTTTTTACTTTGTGTATAAAAATAAAAATCACTTGTCTTGTAATTAAAAAAATTTAAACAATTTTATATAATAACATATATAAAAATAATCACATATCTAGTAATTAAAAAAATTTAAACAATTTTATATAAAAATAACCATCACATATCTTGTAACAAAAAAATTAAAAAATGTTTACACATAAATAACAATCACATATTTTGTAACAAAAAAATTTAAAAAATTTTATATAAAAATAACAATCACACATCTTGTAACAAAAAAATTTAAACAATGTTTGTAATACATATGGCATATTTTAAACTGTATGGAAAAGAAGGAAACAGTTCCTCTCCTTGTTTATACATAAAGGTATTGTACATTTTTGACAGGTTATCATAGTCTTAAAATTGCAATCAGGATATTTACATCTTATACGATTGTTGGTATGAATAGGATAATGATCATACCCATCCAGTCTTACTTCTTGTTCAGGAATTTCCTTGCAAGGACCTCTCCTCCGTTTTTTTTCATTATACATATACTCAGTTGTGTTTTCTTCTAAAGTTGGTCTCCCTCTCCTTTTCGGTGATACTTTTTGTTTTTCACATAAAACTTCCGATACTAAGAGTTTGAAGTCTACTAGTGGTAAATAAAAGTTATCGGTATGAACTCGACGATATAGCAGCCATGCATTCACCACACACAAATCCAAAACATGGAAAAATATTTTGATATAATATTTTTTGGACTTGATACTTATTCTGTAGTAGCCTAGCATTGAATCGAGCAAATCGACTCCCCCCATATAAGAGTTATATGTATCAATTGCCTTGGGGCACGGTACCATTTTGTATTTTTTTTCACTTCTAAAAAATCTTTTTTTTTCCCCAATTGGCTAACTTCCAACATAAGTGGACACCATGTTCACTAATTTGTTATCGTACCACGAAACTGCTGATAATGTTACATCATTAATTGTTGTAAGTTTCTCACAGAAAGTGCCTCTACCTTTTTTTTTAAAATCTTTTTCACTTGGCATATTTAATCCAGTTAAGCGATTTAATCTAGCAGTTCCTAGGGGAAGAATACCTTCTTTCTCCAAATAAATTAGTAAGTCTATACTTGTAAACCAGTTGTCAAAAAATATCTTGTAATTGCAATTTCTTGGTATTGATGCAGCCATTTTTACAACCATATTGCTACTTACTGAGAATGAAGGCAAGTTATCAGGCATAATATTAGTTTGAGCACCAGCAAAAATTTCAAAATCATAGCTAAATCCAGATAAACCACTTAACACAAATACTTTATAGCCCCATTTATGGGGTTTTTTAGGGTTGTATTGTTTGAGAGATGATCTGGATTTAGTGGGTATGATTTGCTCGTCCACCGCAAGGTACTCTTCTTTTGGAATAGAGGTACATATAGTTCTAACTGCATCAATAAGGGGACGGACTTTAAACAATNGGGTCATTTTTATAGGTCACCTGATTACACTTGAATACCTAAACATTTATTGAATTTAATATTAAATAAAATTATATTTTATGATAAAAATAAAAAATTGATATGTATTTATATCATATATTATATTATAGTTTATCACTATAAACGATAAATAAAATGTTTTTTTTGTTGTAAATTTGAAGACTTGCAATTATCTGTAAAAAAAAAACAGTATATAATCAATATTTTGTTTATACTTTTGTTGTTTGAATTCTTCATATTTAATATTTTTAATTTCCTTTAAAAAAACATATTAAATAAGCCATTTTCTTTGTTAGTAAGTTTTTGATGAGACATGGTTTTTAATTGTCATGTTTTGCAAATATGCTATGACAGGCTTATGTTTTGATAATAATTCAACATTTTTACAGGTAAAGAATATTTTAAAAAGAAAATTGTGTATACATTTACCTTATGAGTATGTTATTTCATAATTATTACTCCTAATATATATTATTACTTCAAAAAAAAAATTAGTAGAAAAATTATACATTTCTTTAAATTTATCATATATATAAAGCTGAGGGTTCTTGAACAGCTCAAAAATGTAGAAAATTGTACTTTTTGTTATATACAAAATATTTTTCATGGTGTGGAGAATAATAAATTTAGCCTTTTTGAAAATTGTATTCTAGTTACACTTAAGTTTGAATTTC